GCCCTCTCCCAAAGCCCCATGACTCATTAGAGCTGAAATGGTGCACACCTGTAATCCTAGCGCTTGGGAGGCTGAGGCAGGAAGATTGTGGGAAGTTCAAGGCCAGCCGGGGCTACAAAATGAGCCTGAACTGCACAGTGAGACCCAGTCTCAAAAACAAACAAACAAAAAGATACCATCTAAGGAAATATTTGACCATAAAGAGGGACACAATCCTGATATGTACTGCAATGTGGGTCAACCATAAATATTATGGTAAAGTAAAATAGAGCCAGGGAGATAGCTCAGTAGAATAAGCACCTGCCTGGCAAGCGCAGGGTTCTGAGTTCAATCCCTGGTACTGCCCCCCTCCAAAAATAAATAAATAAAATACAGTAAAATAAACCAGATCCTTAATCTGGTAGGGCTGAGTCACATGATGCTGTAATTTCATTTATTTATTATTTATTTTAAATCCCATCTATTATAAGGTATCTAGGTTAGTCAAATTCCTTCAGACAGGATCTGTGGAAAGAGGGGAATAAAGATTTAGAGTTTAATGGGTACAGAGTTTAAGATTGGGAAGATAAAGTTCTGGAGATGGATGGTGGTGATGGTAAAACGGTGTGAATATATTCAGTGTCATAATTTATCCTTTAAAAAAGTTAAAACGGTAAATCTCATGTGGTAAAATTTATGCACATATTTTGCGGTGTTTAACACAATAAAGAACCATAAGACCTCTTTAGAGAAGGCAGTTACACGAAGCTGGCTACATCAAACACGCTGATTCAGGTCTCCCCAAACTCCCCCTGCTGTCTCTGAATTAACCTTATTAGCATGTTCCCTCCCATAGTGCTTTGCTTCACTCTCTGCCAAAACCTATTTAAATGAAATCACAACCAAGCTGCCTACATATTTCCAATCCACCTTTAAATGATTTCTTGCGGTCGTATCATTTTCAAGAAAAAAATAATGGACGGTTTTTACACCAGCGTTAAATTCACCTTTCTGAAATAGGAACCTCACAGATTGGCAGTAGTGACCAGGGGGCGTGTTAGCCAGCTTTGCGCAGTGGCAGTATCGTAGCCAATGAGGTTTATCCGAGGCGCGATTATTGCTAATTGAAAACTTTTCCCAATACCCCGCCATGACGACTTGAAATATAGTCGGCATTGGCAATTTTTGACAGTCTCTACGGAGACTGAAATCTTTCTAGTTGAAAAGTAGCTATTGCGTGTGGTGGTTTGTTCTTCGTTTTTGTGTAGAGCTGGCAAATCCCAGTTTGCTTTGTCTCTTACGTGTTTCTATGTAGGTCGGACTGTACTCACTTTGTTCTTAGCTTCGGAATTGCTGACTTTACACGCTTGAAGTCGAACTCTGCTGTCTCTCTAATCGCGGGAGTTTAAACTGGTCCGCTCAGGATTTTTTTTTTTTTTTTTTTTCCCCCCTGCGGGGGTGGGTGCCTCCGGGAATTGAGCTCAGGACCTGTGCGAGGCAGGTGCTTTAAGCAACTGAGTTATCACCGGGCCGCAGAGGAGAACTGTTAAAACCATCCATCCCTACACGTTTTTGTTGTTGTTGTTGTTGTCTTAAATGATCAGGAAGGAAATAGATCCAGACTTGCTCAGAATCAATGGCACAGTCTGACACAGCGGAGTTTGGAAGTCAATCCTTTCCTATGCTGTTGCATTTGTTTCCACATCTCTTTCTCCCGTTTTGTTCTGTTAATGAGCTCTCAGCTGCCCATTGATACCGCATAGCAGATCCACCAGTCTTCCAGCGCTCCCCTGACCTGCAGCAAACGGATGTGTTCACCAAGGGCAAAAGCGATGTGTGGCAACAAGTGATGGTTCAAAAGGCACTGGGGACCTGAGCTGCGCGGTGAAGCCCTGTCTTAAAAAGAAAAGCAAAGGAAGGGGCCGGGGAGATGGCTCAGTAGAACACGCGCTTCTCTGGCAAGAGGAAAGAAAGAAAGAAAGAAAAGAAAAGAAAGAAAAGAAAGAAAAGAAAGAAAGAAAAGAAAGAAAGAAAAGAAAGAAAGAAAGAAAGAGGCAAGGCCCTGGGGAGAACAATCTTAAGTATGGTATATTGATCCTGCTTCAAGGAACTGACAGTCTGGAGATAAACCACAAACTAATCAGTAAACTGAAGAACTACAGATTGTTACAGTGCTAGGAAGACAGAGACCTGCCAAAGCACTTACTTACTGTGTACCTCTTTGCAAAGTGCATTTAATTTTCACACTCCCCCCAACTCCCATTCAGGAAATTCAGGGCCTCAC